TTTTTTAGGCAATTTTCATCAATATCACAAGTAAAACTACAATTTCTCGAGTTCTCACCACATTTTTCTCTTTTCAAAACCATTGCCATAGAATCCTGTGGGTATATCCCACACCGTTTCTGCCATTCTGGATGATTCTGCAACGTAAAGAACAAATCAACATATGCCACTTCGTCCCATTTAGCTGTCCTTTTACAAAACAACATTAATTGTAAGATGGTATTATATTGCAATGTCCCATTTTCTGGCCATTTCTCCCCACTTTCCAATCTATACATTGGCCACCAATGATTGCAATATTCAATTAATTGTTTCTGAGTCAGAGGATCACCTCCCAAATCTTTCCAGTGTCTCAAGATACATCCCAAAGGTGTTCTTTGTGGGATAGGTTTCTTACTCGGAAACGTACTCATTTTCCCAAGAGACTAGAGGGTGTGATCGTGCACTATCACAGGCACTAGTCAGAGGGACCCCAACCCCTGTTGAAGCTCCCTCTAGGATTCCAGCCTCCTGCCGGAAATCCCAACCCCCCTTGCTTACCTTCCCTTTTACAAAATATATATTGTGGGACTCCAACCCCCTAACCTTGCCCAGGACCCTAGCCCAACCCTGCAAGGCTTTCACAGCGTCTTATAGGCAGGCGTTGCCTATGGGGACTCCAACCCTGTACAGGTACCTCTCAGCCCAACTCTGCGTAGCTTTCGCCGCACCTTACAAGCAGGCTGGTAAGACTTCTTAAAAGAATGCCTTACTACCTTTCCAGGGGACTTGCTCGGAATTCTTCGGTCCGGGGATCAGAGGGTCTCCCCGAGAATCCCTCGGTGCCGGCTGGAGGTCCCGTGATCCCGCGGATCCGTTGAGATTCACAAGCGGAGTCCCATCTGGGTGACCAAAACTGTCACCAAAATTGGGAATAATCCTCGTAACACCAATGTAGAGTTAAAAGGCAGGCATTCTTTATTCGCCGCGCCGGATGCACGGGGGATCACTCCGCCTAGCGTGCATACCACAGGTTACGTCAACTAAAGTTTATATCACCTGGTTACATACATATGCATCGAATTTCCCGGAACTAATTATCATATTTACATACATAGTCATTACGCATGCGTCCTTAAAAGCTGAGGGTCGTCTCCGGTGGTCTCTGGTGGTCTCGGGGGGTGGTACCGCGTGTCCTTTGATTGACCCCCTCCTTGTGAGCATGCGCATTGTTAATGTACCTTGTTTCTTTCTCCATAGCACCCAGTTTCTAAAACACACCACAACCCTGTTACTTTGGTTACATTAAGACACTCCTTAACCTATTATTAAAATCGATAGGGTCTGCAGGTAGTAGCTTAGCAACAATGTTAGCGTTTTAACTGTCCCATCACCTTGGTGCTAAAGACTGAGATACAGAACAAAACCGCTGTCATCTTGGTTACAGCCGCGATGGGATCTTCGTTACCGCGCGGAATCGCCTTATCGTGGGGAGGAGACCGATGTGTTGGGCATCGGGGCAGAGCCGTACGCGCGGCCCTCTGTGCGTGCCGGGGGAGCAAAGGGACCCGTGTTTCTCGTGGCGCCGAGCGCTGCCGCTGGCGCGGGGC